CAGAGATCACTTGGGTAGTCACTTGTTCCCAGGAGACTACCAGCTCTTATAAGGGAAGGGCCTCCCCATTTCCTGCACATAGTGTGTCACCAACCCATCCCCACAACTCCTTTTAAGTAGAGGTAAGGAAGAAGCCCCAGGAGGCCACATACTTCAACCATATACCCGGATGCTCATGCATTCAGATGGCAGAGAGCTGCCTTGCCCAAGAAAGCAGGCAGTTGCCCAGGTGATGGAATTTATGGCTTTGAGAGCTTGTCTGCCTTAAAATAGCTCTCTTGCTCAATCTAAAGTAGCAATTTATTCCTTCAGCTTTAAGACTGGGGTTTGCACTGCCTGGCCTGGGGAAGTGGGCAGAGTGGGAGAGGAAGGCAACATGGTAACACCAGCATTCTCTAATCCTGCTTTCTGTGGATCTTGGCAACAATCATCCCCCCCCCCCCCCGCCTTGGACCTATTTTCCCATCTCTGAGATCACAATTTTTAAGACCTTTCTAAGAACTTTTAAGGTCTCTCCATCACACAATTAGTTCAGGGCTGGTTCTGCTTCAGGACCCTTTCTGCAGAGGTACTGCACTAAACACTCATCTCAACCAGTTTATCCTGTCTCCCTGGGAAGTAGGTGAGAGTCTCCTTGCCACTCAGAGGACGATGAGATCTGAAGAGGCAAAGGGATTTCTCCCCAGTCACACAACTGTTAAAAATCCTAGGGCCAGAATTCAAACCAGTCTGACTTTGGGTTCCCAGCTGAAACTGCCCAGGTGTCAGAGCTGTGACTGAGGGCTAATTTTCCTTTTGTCAGAACAGTTCTGGTCCACTTGAGTGCCAAAAATACTGATGTTCCCAAGTATGGGGAGAACCATCTGGCAGGCAGAGTGGCTAGACTGAGGCTGTGTTTGGTGATGCTTCCCACAAGGACCCAGCACCAGCTGCAGGGAGATGTTGGCTTAACCTCCCTTTGTGCCTAGGACAGTAGTGCCCATGGGTACGACATGAGAAACCAGCTCTTGGGGGCAAGAACTGCCAGGGATGTCCTAGTCATAGCAAACCCACCAATTCTACAAATGCTGGTTTCCTTTAAGGTATCAGAAGGAGGGGCAGGAGAGAGGGTACTGAGAAGCTGCATGATACCATCCATTTGGCTGTAGAGTTCAAATTTCAAAGATCATAGAAACACGGACCTTTGCAGAGTCTCAGAACCTTGCATGTGAATGTTCTCAAGAACATTCTGTGGGGCTGGGGAGATAGCTCAGTTGGTACAGTGCTTGCCTTGCAGGCACAAGGCCCTGGGTTCAATCCTCAGCACCACAAAAGAAAGAAAAAAAAAAAAAAAGAACATTCTGTGGAACCTGAAGGTAATCCACAGTCAAAGCTAGGTGGAAAACCCCAAACACATGCCTTTCTGAAGAGTCACACCAGTCACCAATAAAATAAATTTAAAAATTTGTTTAGTTTTGAGTGTTCCAAAGCTGCTCAACCACGTTAGAAGATGACCTCAGAATACCTTTTGGAACACCTAGACTTCAGCTTTTACAAATGGGAATAGGACTGTCAAGAAGGAGGCAGCCAGCGAGGGGCAGAGCCTGTGCCAGAACTGTGTGCACTCCAGTACTGTCCTCCTCTGGGCCTGTCGTGAGAGAGAATTCATCCTCTCAAGGTGCAAAACCATCTGACATGAACTAGAACCTCTGAAATGCCATCTCAACATGCATACATTTTCTGTATGCAAAAGTTAAATGACTTGTTTAGTTTCCTATATACACCCAAGCTTAATTCCAGGCCAGCGTTTGTTAGATGAGTCTGTATAGGTCAGAAATGGATTCATAGTCAAATGATGCCAAATATTTTAAATATCAAGGACAGATGTAACATGACACAGGCTGCTGACAGATGTACCAAGGCACCCTTACTCTTTCAAATAAACGACTGCCTTAAAAAGGAACATAGTTTTAAAATTGTTGAGTTCTTCCCAAAACAAAAATGCTTCACATTGTGTTTCTAGTAAGACTTTAGTTCTTTGCAGATGCTGATGGGATGAGCAAGTTGTAGGGAGGGGAAAGGTCAGTGGGGAAGATGGAGGAGGCTGATGATCACTTTGGAATGCTGATTCAGTTTTCTATGCAAAAAAAAAAAAAAAAAAATAGGTTCCATTAAATAAATGTCAACAGAAAAATATTGCACATGAAAATACCTCACTGTTTTCATTTATCTTTACTTACTTGATAAAAACAAGATGAGACACAAAGTATTATTAACAGTACTGGAAAAATCTGTAATTCTACCCCACAAAGGGATTTCTTAACAGGGTTAGAAATACTTGGAAGGGCTGGGTATGGTGGTGCATGCCTGTAATCCCAGTGACTCAGGAGGCTGAGGCAGGAGGATAGCAAGTTCAAGGCCAGACTTAGCATTTGGCTGCAAATTAGCAAGACACTGTCTCAAAATAAAAATTAAAAATGGACAGGGCTGTAGCTCAATGGTAGATGTAGCTCAATACCCAATACCAAAAAACACTGCCCAAGAGTGGAGAAGAGACTTCCTGACCCACACACAGACCTGATCCCTACTGTTCCAGAACCCTATCCCCACCAGTTCCCGGTCTTGCAACGCTTGGCTGTAAACACAAGCTTCTGTCCCTTCAGGCCATGAGATGCTATGGCCTGACTTATTGTTTGGCAGCAGGGCACACTGCCTTATCTTTAGTGGGAGTTTTCACTTTTTCCTTCCTCTTGCTCTCTGGACCACTGCTGCTGGCCTGTCATCTCGGTCTCCCATTAGAAAACAGCATCTGTGCCTCACCCAGCAGTCAGAAAGCATCAAGAGAGCAGTTGGCATCCTGTTGGCTAACAATACCAAATACCAATGTCCTTACTTTCAGAATTCAGTGCTCAGGTGTGGCATCTTGTAGGAACTGCACCAGGAATTTTGAACAAGGTATCAATTCCTCTACCTCCATTTTCCAAAGAGATGAGATTAAACTACAGACTGATTCCACAAACAAAATGGGTGGGTCAAAGGATGGAGTTGCTAGAACAATGTTAATTAGGGATTACTTTCAATCAGCAACCACACTGAAGACCTACCATAAGCCAAGCATATGTGCACCTTCTGTGTTCATGACTGGAAAGAAATTTCATGCCCATTTTACAAAGTCAGGGAAAGAAGGCTCAGTGGGGAGAAATTTCCAATTTTGTTTGTGTTACTTTGTTTCTTTATCAATTTTTCTACTCTGTCTAAACTGTACTTGTTTGGTTCAAAGAGAATGCACAGGATTGGAATCCACTTGAGCTCAACCCTTCCAACTTCAGTTGCCTCCCTTCATGTGCTGCTCCTATCTAGAGAAGGCAGGCCAGGGAATTCAGAGTGGGTTACCAGTGTGTTTGAGGCCCCCTAAGACACATGAGTATGGAGACCAGCTCCCTGGCCTAGCATGCACCCCCAGGGACATTCACACAGGTAAAACTCAGGGCCTATTGAGGGCACTTACCAATGGTAAGCCCTGAAGTTCTTGCCTTAAGAGGGAAGTCCTTTCTAGATAAGAGTGTGGCAGGCAATTCACTCTGACTTTCCCAGTAAGATAATGTGACTGCAGCCCATTTTCCCTTTGCACAAATGCTCTTTGGATACATTCTGTCATTTTTGTCCACCTAATAAGAGTAACTCTTGCATCCATGACAGCAAGGGAAACAGGTGGAATAGCAGCACACAGCTGCAGAGGACCTCAGATGAGAACACTTTCTTTTTCTTTGGCAGTATTGGGGATCAAACTTAGAGCCTCACACATGCTAAGTAAGCAAGCATGCTCCCACTGAGCTACATCTACCATCCTTTCATTTCATTTTAAGTCAGGTCTCACTATGTTGTGAAGGCTGGCCTCACATATGATCTTCCAGTGTCAATCTCCCAAGTAGCTAGGATTACAGGTGTGCACCACCATACCCAGAGAACACTTTCAATTGCTGTATTTCACCATCTGCTTTGAGGGAGCAACACAAGTGGCAGCAGAGCATACTGTCAGGGTTGAATTCTGGCCCTAACTTCAGCAGCTGCTTAGCCCGTCCCTGGCCTAAGGGTCCTCATCTGGAAACTAAGATGGTAAGAGTTATATTTGCCTCACAGAGATGTGAAGATTAAATCAACTTGTACAAAACATCTAAAGTGTTACTGGTATATAGCAACCTCCAATATAAGTATTTGCTATTACAGTGTTACTGGTAGTATCATAAAATGAAATAATCCCTCATACCACCCTACAGATTGCTCGAGAGAACTGAGGTACATCACCTTAACCAAGAATCAAACCAGCATCACCAATACAGGGACAACTCAATGTGAAAGTAGAACATGTACAACCTCATCCATGCAGTAGCATTCTTACAAAAATGTCAAGCCAGAATCAAATCATGAGGGAAACACTAAGATGGAACTTTCTATAAGACCACTGGCCTGACCTCATCTGAAATATTTAGGGGTAAAATATCCCGATGTTAAAAACTGATGAATCTATAAAAAATAATACGGGTATTCAATACATTCTTTTTCAACTTTACTGTAGGTTTGCAATTTTTCAAAGTAAGTTGAGGAGATAATTTGTATGAGTGCAACAGTCAGATACGCAATTCATGTATTTGAAAATAAAAGCTACAAATTTTCTTGAGCAAATTTTACAGTGCAAGTGGAAAGCATTACAATGTAGTTACTCTGAAATTCCTCTATGAATCCTTAATGCTTTTAAATTGGCTAAGTGCAAATCACTCAAAATGAAAAATTTATATAAGAGGCCAGAAAAACAAGACAGTCTCTCACAAACCCTCCTGCATTCTACACACAGCTTTGAGCTCCACAACTTTCAAACTATGGCTTTACATGTTTTTATCAGAATTCCTGAATTTTTAAGTGAGTGGTATTTTTAGCTACATGATCAGATACCCAAACAATGGTTTTCCAGTGGGATGATTTATTTATCAAAAAAAAAAAAAAAAAAAAAGTCACCAAAATCGTAAGCAGTCTGGATTCGTGTTTATTGAAGCCAGTAATTAGAGACATCTTTTTATTTTCCAGCACTAGAGAGTAAGGTTCCACAAGACTGCATACTGCACCCGGATAGAGCCACACCCCTGGACTAAGGCTGGTGGGGGATAATCTGCAGTCCTATTTTAAGTTAAAAACACCAATGAACTTAGCATATAGACGACAGTGAACTTTCACTTACAGCATCAACATTGTTAAGGTCATGATGTACAGAGCAGTCACTTTCAAATTCATTAAATTAATAAAACATGACAATGTTTTCAGTTTAAATACTGATTTTAAAATGCCAATTAAAAAAAAGTGCAAACAAAATAAAGTAATCTAGCAGCATACCTGTTGCATTTTTAGGAAAGACCAATTCATGGCCTTTATTTGGGCCACATCTTCTAGGTTGGGCTTATTTTTCTTTGATTTTTCCATTTTAAAAACAAACAGCAGATGTAACCACTATAATGTGTATAAATAAGTCATAAAATTGTCTTTAACTGTCTACCTACATGTGTATTCTGCAAATAAAATGAATTTTATTTTAAAAAGTAAAGGCTGCTTATTATTTGGCCTTTGGTTCCAATGCTTGAAAACCCCCAAATAACAGAAATCTTCTCCCTTCCCACCCTCTAAAAAGAACCCTGAAGCTCCCCCAAAGTTGGTAGACTTTGGCAACCACTGAGCACATGACACTACGCATCAGTTTCTTCTGACACTAGGAACATCCATTTGTCATGAGAATAAAAGTGGTCTCCAAGAAACCTTCCTTCACAAGACCGGCACCTTAGTATTTTCATAGGCTTTACTACATCTTACACTGACACAAAAAGTGCTTATCAGTTCAAATGATAAAAAAAAAAAATTAAATTTTGCATTACTATTTATACTCACACTGTATCCCTCTTAGGCATGTGCCTTTCCAAGAATTTTTTTCTTGTTTCTGAGGTTATTCATTTTGCTCCCAGCTACTACAGAGGGAATAAGTGACCCCCACCTTTAGTGTGGCCATGAACTGTTTGGCATCTACCGGTTGCTACACCACAAATACCACTCCACAGTTTACTGCCATCACCTAGACAACCTGGTAATTGGAAGCCACGATACATGTTTAAAAAAAAAAAAAAAAACTGAATTAAAAAAAGGAAAAAATAATATATTTCAACAACAAAACTGGCACAAGAAACATTTTTTCATTTGTCAGAAAGGCAAGTGAATACGCAGCTTTCTCCTTAACAGTGTTCAGACCTTTTACAAAAGCAATTCAAGACAATTTTAAGAGTTTTGTTATATAACATAGGATATTAAGTTATGCCCAGTATTATGTTAGTGGTCAATCAAATCTGGTATGTAAAAGTAATGACATTAGGGAAGTTATGCTGAGACACAGTACAACAAACATTTATATAAAAAAGTAAACGCCACGTAAGTGAACTGTGGTATTTCCCTTGGTTTGACAACAAATGTTTTATACATTAAATTCATGGTAGTGTTTGCATTTAAATGCTGTGTCATTTATAAAATTAAAAGTGCCATCTCAAATCCACAGAATTCATTCCCAGAATGGTGATGTGACATGACAATGTGCATGAATCTGCCCTAAATGGGGAGACACCTAAAACACTCACTTCCGTAAGAAAAAAAAAATGCTACATTTTATGAAAAACACAAAAGAAATTATATAATTTTTGTTTTCACTATAAAACATTCACACTTATTTGTCCATCTGATAGCAATGATCAGACCAGGGAGCTAGGACAAGACCTTTTGCATTAGTGGAACTCCATGAAAGTTTCCACAGACTGTAAGGCAGGGATTGGTGCAAGCCAATTAACCAGAGTACAATTACATTAAAAACCTCCCCCAAACTTTCTGTAGCACATTGCATTATGGTAGAATGAGAGGTTGATTACCCATTTTCTACTAGTAGGCCAGCCTGTGGTAGTTTAAAAAAATAAAATAAAATAAAAAATAACAAAGCAGGAGCTATTTAGAAAACACAACTCAAAGTAAACTAATTTTGCTGACTTTGATCACAGCCCACAGTGACTGCCTGCCCCACGATGCACATGCATGGAGCCCAACATCTCCCCAAGGACAAGGCTTGAGCCAGGCATGTGGGTCCTGGGCAACTGACATCTTCCCAATCCTGTGTCAGCTCCACCTGACTCAGGACCCCTACACTTAATGTATCCTCCATAAGCTAAATGCATTCAGAACGAGTCTAAATCCCATTTTTCTTAGTGTTTAGTTTGGAAATGCTTCTAATTTTAATTCTTAAACAATGATTATTTGACTTCTACTGAACACACAGTATTTACTAACACTGCTCATCTCTCTTTCTTCCTCCACCTCCCTCAACATCCGGCTTCCCCTCCATCACGTCTCTCGTTTCTCATTTCTCCTTTCAATCTTTCTCTTTTCTGGACTTTCTGCTACTTAATCTGCTTCCCAAGAACAAGTGAATTTGCTAACACGCAACTGGTCAGACTAACCACCATCTGATAATGATTTCCTGGTCTCATTTGCTCCACCCCAACAGAAAAGTGGGCCCCCTTTCTCCGCACTACAAGAAGCCCAGTTACGCTCGCTTCCCAAGAGAGCCACATGCCCGAGAGTCCAAGGGTTATCCTTAACAAGGGGTCTGCCACGTAATCTTCCTAAATGTGCATTTCACACTCGGACAAGCCAATAAAGTTTTTTTTTTTTTTTAAAGAGTTCATCTCCCCTTCCCCAAAAAACTGATAGCATGTGCCATATCAGAAAAATCCTGGTCTTAGCAGATCAATATACATAGTTATTTGGTCATTTGACATGTGCACTTTTTCAGGAGGATCAGGCTTCATTTTCTGTTGAAGAGTTTGTTACCATGGAGTCTGGTTTTCGAGTCATTCTATCCAGTTCTTCCTGAACATTTGACAACACAGTCTTTTGTCCTTAAAAAAGGCAAAAAAAAAAAAAAAGCAGCAAAGTGAGAACAGGAAAAGATTTTTAAAAAGAAACATTTAAAATTATACAGACTTCTATAATCACTTGTGGTGAACAAAAATGGGAAAGCCATTTATTCAAGAATCATGAAACAGACCCTAACTCAGTCTTTTTAATTCTAAATGTCACAAGTCTGTGCTCCCCCAACTGTGTGGCTGCCTCTAGCAGGGGTATCTCTGTGCCAAATGCAAGGGCCTTTCTGAAAACCGTCTCACCTTCCAAACCCAACCCCTGAGCACTCATCACTAACATCTTCCTAGAAATGATCATCTGAGTTTCAGGTATACGGCAAACTGCTTTCTTTGCCCAGGGCAGATAAGTATTCAGGTTTTTTCTAATCACAGCACTATGGACTGACTCAGATGCACAGCCTGAAAACACCATGTGTCAATATGAGATGAGACCAAGACCAGGCAGTTCAATCCTGCACAAAGTTGGTGTTCACATTTTTCTGTTTCAAACACTAACAGGGCCTAGAAAATGACCCCAAATTCTGATAAGTGAAAAATGGTCATGGCCATGGCCAAGGCCACCAGACTCTAAGAAATTTGAGCTGCCAAAGGTCCAGGCTGTCCAGGAAATGGAGTGATCTCCTAAGGGTTTCATGGGCTCTGGAAACATTAATTAGGGAAAACACTGTATTAATATATCTTATATAAGTCAGCGGAAAATTAAATGCAAAGACCCCCCCCCCATTTTTTCTTTTACTTTTGGGTACTAGGGATTGAACCTAGGGATACTATCACTGAGCTACATCTCCAGTCCATTTTATTTTTTGAAACAGGGTCTTACTAAGTTGCCCGGGCTGGCACTGAACTTGTGATCCTCTAGCCTCAGCCTCCTGAGTCTCTGGGATTACAGGCATGTGCTACAGCACCTGTTGTAAAGCAAAGACCCTTTTAAAATATTCTTTTAGCATGTGCAAGACCCTAAGTTTAATCTCTAGTACCACAAATAAAATGAAATGTCCTCCAGCTTTCTGAGAAAATGTGTGATTCTCAAGGAACTTGGTTCTTTTGTTTCAGAGATCTCCAAGAAAAACTTGGCCCACTAGCCCATATGGAAGGATAGGTGGGTGGGCTACCATAGAGTTCAGAGACGAAGAGATGACTCTCTAGTGAGACTGAGGGTTCACAGGCTCTAGCCCATGGCAAGACTAAGAGCAGTAGAGTGAATAAAATCCTTCAAAGTATCACAGAAAAATAAACAGAATAAATAAAACGTCAATAGTTTACACGAGGTCAAAATTTCCAGTGATGAGAGCTTCTATAATAGAGTCACATGTACAATTCAGGCTGCACCTCGACTCACCTAAGAGCCTAAATACATATACATCCCACTTTATTTATTTATTTAATTTAGTTTTTGGTACCAGGAATTGAACCCAGGGGTGCTTAATCACTGAGCCACATTCCCAGCCTTTTTTGTGTTTTAGAGATAGGGCTCACTAAGTTGCTCAAGGCCTTGCTAAATTGCTGAGGCTGGCTTTGAACTCGTGATCCTCCTGCCTCAGCTTCCCAAGCTGCTGGGATTACAGGTGTGTGCCACGGCGCCTGGCTACATCCCACTTTAAATGTGCCCGGGAAACCTATTGGTAATAAGGCAACCCCACAGAAAGCACCCTGCTCACTATGAAACGTAGATCTACTTCCACGTGTGGTTGTTCAGAATACCATGAGTCTGCAGGCCAGGTGAAGGTACACAATCCTGTATGTATTCCCATCCTTCTAGTACAGCTTGGCCATAAGGGCCATGAGTCAGTCTCCAAGGACCCCTTTATACCTGACTTCTTGGTTGTGCTCTGCACTCCACCAGCACCAGGACTTCCAGGAGAGCCTGTTTTTTTACTCAGAAGACTATTGAAGAAGCTGGCCAACACCCCTTCACTGGCTGCATTATCTAAGGAAATAGTAAGCAAAGAAAGCATCACACGAACTGGATGACTTAAAACAAAAAAAGTAGTTCTCAACTTGCAATTAGCCATTCGTGGCCATCACCATCCTATGATCAAATTCATTTACTCCGAGTCCTTACAACACTAACGCTGAGGCTAATTATGTGTTGGCATGATTACTAGGTGGAAACACATTATAATTCCTACCTAAGCATAAGGATAACACATGCTCCACACCATCTCCCTGTCCTCAAAGCAGTGTTTTTCAAAATTTTATAAGCCCTTAACACTCCCAGCCTGCCACAAAAAGCTCATATCCTAAGTAGAAAATACCCATCAAACATTCGAGAATTAAAAAGGATTTTGTTTTGATGGTTTTACCCAATAACTTTGGGTATCAATAAGCTGCTGGAAATAACAGCTACTTAAACTAATAAGTAATTTAGCTTGACAAGAGCAGTGAAGGAGAAAAAAAATCTCACAATTTATAAATAGTAATAATATAAACATGAGACATAAAAAACTCAAAATACACATTTTAAAGTAACTTTCTATTTTGCATTCCTTTCTGAAAGCATCTGCAGGACCTGAAGTCTTACAAAACAAAGAAAGAAAAAAAGGTTCATGGGTCACTAATTCCAACAAAGGAACAGATCTTGGTTGCTGCCATCCAAAAATCCCTCCCTCTAGGAAGTGGAAAGAAGCTCTTCTTCAGGGAGAGCAGAGCCCCAAGCTTTCCTAGATCTTCACTCCTACAGACCTAGAACTAAACAATTCTCCATAAACAGAATACTTACTTTTGATGTTTGGGTCCGGCTTCTTTACTGACGTTCCTGGGGAGGCACTTGGTACACTGGCTGGCCCTCCCCGGCCCTGGGTCCTTGGAGAGCCAGAAGGTCCTCTCGCAGGGGATTCCTAAGTCCAAAACCAGTCCAGGTGACACATAAAAATAACAGAAAAATACAAATCTCAAAAATGAAGATTTGATTCTGCCAGAAATTTTCCAGAGTCTAGGTGAAGAACTGGGAGTTTGCTCCTAGTTCAGCCCCTTCCTAGGCCTCAGTTTCTCCTAAGAGGTCCTTTAGAAAGACCAAATTCCCACTGAACATGAAATGAAAGCCCACCTAAATATAAGCTCTCATAAATAATGGTATAAATTTTGAAGATACCCGTGACACTGGCCATGACCCTCTGTGTGGTATAAAGTACTCACGGAGGCTCTCGTGGGCGTAGCCGGCTGCTTGGCAAGGAGTGACTGCAAAGAGAGGGACAAACTGGCCATTAACCAAGGCCTGCAGAGTGCACTTAGGTTGGGAGAAAAACTTACTCTTAGTATTCCACTAGAGGGCGCCATTAACAACCACCAAATTGTATTTTACTCTACTGGCAAAAAAACCTATTTGGTAATATAGTGAAAAAGATCCAAGTAACCAGGCTTTAAATTTTTATTTATTTATTTTTGGTGGTCCTGAAGATTGAACTTTAAGACAGGGGCGCTCTATCATTGAGCCACACCTTAGCCCTTTTTAAATTTTTGAGACAGGGTCTCACCAAGTTGCCAAGGTTGGCAATGACATTGTGATCCTCCAGCCTCAGCCTCCTGAGTGGCTGGGATTACAGGCATACACCACCACACATGCTTCCAACCAACCAGTTTTGAAGCTAAGGAAGCAAGCAGGGCATAGAAAAGAGGAAGAGTTGGAAAAATAATTATCAAAACCTTGGAACTGCCCATACCCTCAGAAAAGGGGGTGAAAAGGAGACCTGGTCCACATCCCTATAATGCTGCAAGTTCTCTGTGATTCTCACTCGTACGCAGCCCCAGCCTTACCCTAAGGAATTGGCATTCCAAGCATGAGAGGGGCCTCTGTTTTAATCTCCCAGTCTTCTTACCTGTTGCTTCATGAGGAACACCTGCTCATCCTCTGCTGCCAACTCTTTGTCATGGACCAGCTGTGAAGAGACATAACACATTTGTGGCCATGGATCAAGAACACTCTCAAACAACTGAAAATTCATGCTGTAAGGGGAGTCTTAGGCTCAGGCCTCCACATGGATCTGGAAGATCATTCCTGAGATGGTATATTTTTCTTGCCTGGTACAGTCTCCCAAAATTAGCCATAGCATTGGGCCAACTGGCATTTTTAAAGTCTGGCAGATCAGGGTCTTCAGATCCCAACAGAGAGGAGATCTAGCAACAATAATCCAGAGGTGGCAGCAGCACTATCAGGACTCACTGGGACATGCCAGCTAGCTCTATGTAGGTGCACCATTACTCATGCTCCACCATAATGAGCCACCCACATAACCACTAGACCTCACCTGAAGACTAACAAAAAGGTCCCTGGATTACTTATTTCTTCAGAGCAGTACAATTAAGATCCATTTCTTCTTCTTCCCTTGTAGTGCTAGGGATGGAACCAAGGATCTTACGCATGCCAGGCAAGCATTCTACCACTGAACTACACCCCAACCCAAAACCTGAATCTTTTTAGGTTTCTTTCCCCATTAAAAGTGTTTGCTGTGGGTACCTTTCTCACAGGAGGTTTCACAATGAAGTCCTCATATGCATCTTCTGGCTTCACGGTTGTAAAATTTTCATGTAAAATAGCTATTTTCTTTTCATTGTCCCAACCTGCAGGTCTAAAGGCAAAGAGGGATTGGATTGCTTTTCCTGGGACTGCCTTACAAAATACAGAGCACATAGGTTAGAAAGCATTCCTGGATGAGATCCTATCCCATAAGATCTGGTCTGCAGCTGCTGGGATGGTTTGCAGCTTCCTCAGCACGTATACCTCATCAGATCAGCGTGGCAGATCCTGCTCCACACAGAGCTCACGGGCCCCAGGCCTAAGAGGTCAGTCTGAGATCTGACTGACCACATATGGCCCCCATTGGAAGCATTCAGAACTCTCCCCCAATTGCCCTTATAGGAGCAAGGACACAATGGGACCCTGTCTTGACAAAGAAGAATGTAGAGAGTAAAAGAGAGGACAAAGCATGGAGTCTTCCCTCCTATGGGTTCCCTGAGGACTGCCTTTTCTTTCTTTCTTTCTTATTTTTTGGTGCTGAGGATATCGAACCCAGGCACTTTACCACTGGGTTACATCCCCACCCCTTTTATTTTGAGACATGTCGTTCCTTGCTAAGTTGATAAGACTGGCTTTGAACTTGAGATCTTCTTGCCTCAGCCTCCTAAGCTGCTGGGATTTTTTTAAGACCTTGTCTCAAAGAATAAAAAGTAGTTCAGTGATAAACCTTCCCTGGGTTAATTCCCCAGTACCAAAAAAAAAAAAAAAAGCCAAAAGATGTTTTTCTGTTGGGACCAGTCCCAAGTCCAACCAGGCTCCCGCTTCCTCTTAGAATTGTATGGGATTTGGGTACTGAAGGATTCCAAAACTCCACTTATTGAGCTTCTGTCTTTGGTACCTGCCTGACTGCTCTGGATGATTCTCCAAAAGCATATTTGTTGTCTAGGTTAAATCAGGCTCTCCTCAAATGTGCAGGAGGTTACCCATTCAGTTTCCTGGGGGTACCTGGCTCTTTAGCCTCTCATGGCTGCCCCTGACCCTCATATCTACTGAGGAAACACTGTTCATCTTCCAGCATCACTCCCTCTGCCCTTCTCTGTTGCTCTTCACCTCTTTGGCTGTTCCTATATCTTTTTCGGTCCCACAGAGGGGAGCACATTTCATACATTTCTGTGTCCCCAGCAGAGAACCTGGGCACCAAGGAGATGCTGAGTAAGAACTGCTGAATGAAAACAACTGCTAAGTCAAAAGGCCACCTGAGCCTGAACATCTACCTGCTAGCCCAAGTCCTCAGAGAGAACACAGCTTCATCATTATTTATGTGTTCAGAAACACAGTTCTCCAGTGAAAGACACAAACTCAGGAAAACAAGTATACAAGTTGCTGGCATGACAATCAATCCCAGTAGCTCCCAAAATGTGAAATGCTGGAAATTAAATAAGTACTGAGTGTGGCCAAAATCTACACTGGCAGGGATGTGGGAGGATCACCCTTATCAGCGAGCAGAGGAACCAGATGCCATAACAGAAGACATTCAGGATCCTTAAATGAAATCACCTATACTTCAACTACCTCCCCCAGTCAGTACTTCACCAGTTGATAAGTGCCATATATGGCTCGATTATGTTTGGGCAACTTGGTCTCACTGAAGAAAGGCAGCACCCCTGGCCTCACCACTCACTTCCCTCAGGCAGACTGTCTCATAGTCCAGAAAGAGAAGAGGGAAAGATGGGTGTATCTACCACCTCTGAGGTCCAGCCCCAGCCCCAGCATTTTCCCCATGGCAGCCAGAAAGCTGCCTGCACAAGACACGGACAAAAGGCACTTTATATGAAAGGGTAAAATGCATAGCAAATGTACTATGAAAAAAGAAGGGGTTAAAAGCATCACCTTTAAAGAACTCACATAAATACTGCATCCTTTTCCACTACTAAGGCAGGCGTGGTAAAGTGGAAACCGTATGTTTTATGAACAATGTACTTATACAACAAATCAAGATTTTTCTCCTCCTTCACTGATGTGTAAATCAAGGCAGCTCCATCTAATCAATTTGCTTAAGGAAAACCAATTCACTGCAAGCAGAGACAAAATCACATACAAGCACAATCCTTACCGTACTACTCACAAGTCTTATCAGTTTTGATTAATATACGAACATCAAAAATATATTACAATTTTAAAAACTAAAAAGAGAATTGTAACAGATGAACCAAGTCAAAAGCATGAAGTATGCTGACGCTAGCAGGCTACACAGTTGCTTTTTTAACACCTCATTGTTGTCCTGCTCTCTCAGGTTGTTTCCCAGAAAGCAAAGTATTAATGGCTCTGGGGCTGGCCTAAGAGAACACCCTCGACCAGTTAAGGTGTGGATTCTGTCCTAGGCAGAAGCTCACAAGTGAGCAAGTTTGTCATTAAGCATACCTTTCCAGGAATGGGTGTTAACAAGCTAATGGGCTCAAAGGAGACAGTTAGAACCCATCTGTGTCCTCATATTCCAGGATGTGACAGTAGGGCACCAACAACTATTGGCTCTTCACAAAAACAAGACTTCAGAGACTGGTGACACAGCATCTCTCTCATAGGTAGCACAAAACACAAACACATGAGAAATACTTGTAGCACCTAAAACACCAGATTATTAACTGTCCCTTCCTGAACAAAAGCAAAGTCTAAGAAAATTTCTAAAATTTCTAAGCATGGTACAATTATTTTAATAATAAAACCATCACTCCTTAATATGAAAGCCTATGAAATGTACAGCCTTAAAAACAAAGAGTAACCAAAGAAGGCACAAGTTAATAAGCCTCAAATCCCAATACAGTAAAATATAAAACTAGTAAAAAGATATACATAAGTTCTCCCAGGAGAAGACTACCCTGAGTTCAGGAGGGATTTCTAAGATGCCCCATTTAGTGGGAATCCATGTCCCTGGGTCCTAAGGATACACTGGAGGCAGAACCTCCGCAGGTGCGACTGGATGAAGTCCAAGTGCTCGTCCCTGTAATCATGTTCCTTCTCCAGGATGCTCACTGCATCACACTGCAGGGGAGAAAAAAGAAAAAGAGTCATCTCTCTGCTTCTCTGTCCCCATGGAGAATAGGAAAAGCACCTTTTGCAGAAATAAAGTATCATAGCTCCAAAGAAGAAAGCCATTACAAAGGGTCCAAGTATTAATCAGAGTACAGTAAAAAGGAACAGGAGATTTCTCTCTTTCATCCTCTCAGCTTCTTCATCTATAAAGTGCATATACAATATGCCTGACCACCTCACAGTTGTTCTAAACATTAAACAAGGTCACATGAGGTCCATTGTACATCACTGGGTACCACCTCCACAGGGCTCCACTCTCAACAGGATAAGATTGGCACACCCTGCTGTTCGCAACCAGGGTGGCTCTGATGGGAATATCGTACTTTTGATACCTCAAACGTTTTTAAAACTACTTTTTTATTCTTGTGTAAAAGACACTTTAATTGAACTCAATTTCCATCCCAACCTCATCGTTCTATTTTTTCACCATCAATTTGGACCAGATGAACTGGTTAACATGGCCTTAAGAAAACTGCTTTTAGTTGAGTTTCCCATACAGTCTACAGTGTTTCGTGGAAATTAACTGAATAAAAGTGAACCAAGTGATGTCACATTTCCAGCAACAACGTTAAGTGACAATTTGTTCTATCCTGAAACATTCAATGAACCTTAATGGTTCCCGAATAAACTCAACTCTCCCTAGGGAAGAAACTTCATCAAAGCCTCTCAATCTTTCTTTGAGACAGTGATTGTTCACTGGCCAAACCCAGCCAAGCTTACAATTCCTGGACGCACCTTTGTGCACACCACCAACACTGGGATCCCCAGGTTATGAGTCAGCACGTTGTCACCTAGAGGCAGGGCAACATTTTCTTCATCTGAGCCTGAGATCAGAGGCCCTCTTCTCTGTGGGGAACCCTGACAACCTTCTTCAGGCTCAATATAGTCTTGAAAATCTTTCACAACTACAGAGGAAAACGGAAAAAAAAAATATATATATATATATATATATATTACACACACACAAATATAAACACATATTAACTGTAGAAAACTGAAAAATGTAGTAATAGGCAGAAAACAAGCAGCTGTGTGCACCAACCTTCCCAGTTTCATCTGACTGCAGAATCAGAGATTTGGGAATGGTGATGCAAAATGACAATTCTGACTTTCAGTCTGAGCTTCATAACTTCTGAGCAGCAAGGACATTTCTCTGGTGTCTTCAATTGCACCAACTCCTAAACAGTTCTTTTCTTTTTCTGTTTTTTTTTTTTCTTTTTTATTTTAGGCTTTTCTAGTTCCAACTATGAAAAGAATCACTTTTCTTAAAATATCCTACTTTTCAAAATACCAAATTAGTTGAACTGCTACTTCAACATAGGTGACCACTGGGAATCATTACAACTAATAAAACCCAGAATCCTTATTAGAAATGCTTACTAAATTACTGAATTCCATAAGAGCATGCTGTTTCCACATGGCTGAAGGGTGTCAGCACTAAGTAACAAGACTGAGCCTGCTTACCACCAGCCAAATTTCCTCCTTGCTCTCACTCATGTGAACTCGGTCTCATTTTAGAGATCTTGAGTCACACATGCCATGTGTATGGCCTCTCCCTGACTAACACAACAAAGGGTCAAAGGCACATCTGCTTCTTGGTGCACACATTGACTACCCTAGCTAAGGAGGGCCTTTAAGCCAAGTGCTTGATGGATAGTCAAACCAAGGGACCACAGACCCACAGACCTGCACGTGGATGTGGGGCACTTCAAAGCTCACATGTCAAGCAGATAACAAAGACATGATGGTTAAAACTATTTTGAGCCAGAGGAGACAACAGGCAGCTCTACCCTTTTAACAAGCCCAACAGGACTTAAGAACCACAAGGTATTTTACTATTATCAACAACATATTCGCCAAGTAAATGCAAATAACAACACTACACAGGGCCCTAGAGAAAGGTGCAGGGTCTTCTCTTTTCCCACAGAAATGTTTAAAACAGTAAGTTTTTATTTACAGAGCTTTTTGGTTATCCTTGCATGAGCTTCTAAAATTATCTGCAAGCTCATCATATTTCAAATAATACTAGGCAAACTGAAAGCTAATTGCTTAAGCTCAAGTATAGATGTGATAATATTTCATATCCACAATTTTCACTTTAATTAAGGTTCATGCATATAATTCATTTTCAACATAAGTAACCTAGTTGAGTGATCTTCACTCCATTTTATACAACAAAGAAAAATCTGAGGTGATTATTGAAGGACATCAGAAGAAATCAAAGATTCTCATATTTTCTCTTTAAAAAAATTTAAACAAACCTTTAAATAAACAAAAAATACAGGGACTTAACAGTCTAAGTATCACTGAAGGCCCTTGGCCAGGGCTTCCCTGTCAGTGAGCAGAGCAGAGCCTGGAGTCGGGGAACAGGTGAACTAGGCTACAGCGGGAAGTGAGGCGAGGCAGAGCTCAGGTGCCTCCATTACCCAGGGTGCTGCCCAAATTCTGCTGTATTATACGATACGCCACGAGGTGAGAACAGCCTGGAATCTCTCGGTAAGACCTAGTCATACTATAAAGGAAAGACTTAAATTGTGGTTTTTCAACAAGAGTAGGAAATTGACATCTTTTAAAATAACTCAGCATTTTAGAAAGCATACTGGAAGGCAGAACAAATGTGTACAACATATAGGTAAACGAAAAGGGAAGATTAAAATAGTGAGGACTGTGTAACTCAAAACATAATATGTGCATTTTCCTTCGGGGATATTCATAGTGCAGTGTTAACAATTCTCTCTGCCTGGTGGGATGGCCAATAATTTTATAGCAGGGGCCATCCAACTGGAATGCATTAGCATGAAGACAGAGTAGGTTCAAGAAGGCAGTCACAAAGTACTCTACCTTCCCTACTCCTATCTTTCCCCTAATACCCCACTGATCACCCCATTAGATCCACAGACCTGAGAGTCCACAGGCCTATGTAAGCAACAGAGTAAACTACGAACGTGCACCACCTTCTGGCAGCTCTGAGAGTTGCTTCCCACCTAGTTCTGGTTCTTGCAGCCAGTTATCACAGACACTGAATCACTGGAGACCCTAACCCTGAAAGAGAGTGGCTGGCCACAGAGGAACTCTCCAAAATCAGAAGACTGAAGGTCAGTTGGATTAGAAACTGAGTTCGACACAACCTTTCACTAGTTCAATACAATTCAGAGTCCAAATAATCTGGAAATCAAGAGTCCTCTGCACAAAAATATGTCTAGCTACTTTATTAAAATGATTATCTAAACTCAGCACAACAAAGGCACCCCTTCAGCATGTAGCACAAAAGCATGGCTACCATTCCCAACATCTCAGGCATGGGTGGTAAAAGCAGAAGCCTTCAGAGGGTGAACCAGAGTCAAGAGACATGGACTTGGTTCCAGCAATTGCTAGTTGCTCTCAAGTATCTTTCTCCTCTTCCTCCTTATAACCACACAAAACCCTGATTTTCAGAACACAGAGCCATACAGAATAAAGACATTTCCCTTTCCTTAAAAGACAGCAGACCTGGGCACCACGGTGCATGCCTGTAATCCCAGCAACTCAGAAGGCTGAGACAGGAAGGTAGCCAGTTGAAGGCCAGCAAGGCCCTAAGCACTTATTGAGGCCCTGTCTCAAAAACAAACACACAAACAAACAAATAGCTGGGGATGTAGCTCAGTGATAAACACCCCTGGGTTCAATCCCCAGTTCCAAAAGAAAAAAAAAAAAAGAGAAAGAGAAAGAGAATAGGCATATGCCCATCAGCCCTTCCTCTTTCTCTATCCTGATGTCTGGAATACAGATGTGGAGGCTAGAGCTCTAGTTGTCAGAAGGAAATGAACCACACCCTACAAATGACAAAGCAAAAAGCATAATGGAGCCAGGGTCCTTGAGCCATCTTCGGAGTTCAGTGCTGTTCCCTAGTCCTAAACTGCCTACTTCTAGATTTCATTTCCAGGAGAGAAAAATAAACCTCAGTCTTGCTTACGCCATCACCATTCCAGGTTCTGTGTCACAAGCAGCTGAATCTAACACTGACAAAAACATCAATGACTAAGCCTACAAAACAAACTCAGTCTCATGCAATAAGCTTCCCAAGAATAGGTATCTTGACTGCTATGTCCCCAGCACCTAGAATTGTACCGAATATTGAACAGGTACTTTCCCTATCCGGGAAAGAGCAGTGTCCTTGCCCAGTCTCTCTTTTCCTCTGTTTTAAAAAATCTTTACAAGGTTATCACTAATAACACAGGTTCAGAGAACTGGTACAAAGCTACTGGACAGCGGACTGAAAACAGTTCTTCAGCCTCAGAACTATTCTAAGAAGCTGTCTTCAGGGTTTCTTTCTTTTTTTTTTTTTTTTTTTAAGAGAGAGGAGAGAGAGAGAGGGAGGGAGAGAGAGAGAGAGAGAGAGAGAGAATTTTTGATATTTATTTTTCAGTTTTTGGCGGACACAACATCTTTGTTTGTATGTGGTGCTGAGGATCGAACCCGGGCCGCACGCATGCCAGGCGAGCGCGCTACCACTTGAGCCACATCCCCAGCCCTGTCTTCAGGGTTTCTATTTCAGAGGAAAAAGAGACATTATCTACAAAGGTCAGTGGCTGATGACAGACAAGCTGAGCTGCATAACAATCACTACAGCACACATGTGGATGACCCAGGAAATACAGGCAACAAATCAAAGAAAAAAAGCTAAACTCTTTGTTTTAGCTAATGTGGAACAGGGCAAGATGAAGTGTGGGACAGGAAGACACACACCAGGAATTTAATTTGAAAAGCACATCAAAATTTCTGAACCCTTCTGCCAGTAAGTGTGATGATCCCACGTGCCATGCTCCAGAGCTATCATCTATTCACTAAAGGAGTGATGTCATCCTGTGGAATCAAGCCAGACTAGGCCAAGCCTGTCCTGACCAAGACAGTTGCTACTGCCACAATTCCAGTCCCTGCCCCTCCCATTTCCCCGGCAAGAGGACAGAAGCTGATGTAACTGCACAGAGGCAAAGGAAAGGAAAAACAAGCTTCTGAACCACATTAAGGAAAAAACTAAAAAACTTCCTTTAATTTGAAAGTTCTTTTTTCTCAAAAGAACTCTGACATCCTAAGCCTTAAAATAGACTTTCATTTAGTTGCCCCCCCAGATAACCTTTTTATTCCTAACTAAAGCCACATTTGCTGGGCTCCAAAATGAAGTAAGGTAGGAGCTGAAAGATCTGTCTTTTTCAGGGCTCCCACTAAAGTTGCCAACAAGAAGGGTACACAGGGCCTTCATGGAATTCCAGGGCTGTTGACTCAAGCTGCAGAGACCACAGCGAACCCCACATCCTGATGCTAATGCAGCAGACACAGTGACATAAAAGCCTGGAGGCCTACAACACTGATGAAGTTTTAGGAGATGAGAGAAGATGTCTTACACTAAAACAGAATCAACGAAGATAATAAGAAAGAGTCATTCCTCTTATTCAACAACTGACACTTAAGATAAAGACTGCTTTGAATGCTTTTTTCAAAGTATTCTTGATATTGATACTTACAAAAACAACTCTGGAATCAATGGTGCAAAATAAAACATAAATACTGCAAGGGAAACCTCTCAACTGTAAAGGTGGTTCCATCCATCCCAAAAGACTAGTGAATTTTCCAAGAAAATTTTAATTTACTTACACTTCCTCTCCAGCTCCCTCATTTCTTCTGGTGGAATTTTCATTTTATCAATGTGTTCACGCAAAACACTAGCCCACTTCTGTAAAGATTCCATCACTGTCCAAGGTCTAGACATGTCTGCAACAAAAATGACCAGGGTCTCTGGCAAAGATTCAGCAGAAACTGCAAACTTCAACAGGCCTTTGTGGTACAGATCTCCATCCAGAATCCATACATTGCAACGCGTGTGATCTAAGAAAAGAAATGAAGCCAACAACAGTCAGGAGGAGCAAGCTATCTGAAGAGCAGATATAGGAAGATCACGATTTCCACACAGAATGCAAACCTAACTGAAAAGGTGCAAATGTTCAGTGGACAGCAATCCTAGGTCCTTGTGGTTAATGAACTATTTAGACTTTTAAAAAAATTTAAGACTATCATATATCAAAGTATCCACAACTAAAAAGCCTTCAGCAATATCTAAGGTGCAGAGTAAAGGTAAATAGCTTTCAGTAAGAACCAAAAAAATCTAATGTTCAGTGGTCAACTGTGACATGGTCTAAATAATCTTTTGTCCTAAGATATCAGCAATCTTGTGAGGTGGCGAGTAATGCTGAGAGCTTGTGGTTAAACAACGCCTTGTTGTGTCAGTCACATTAAGTGGTGCATTCACATACCAAGAAGGGTACCAAGAGACAGGTCCTTTGTATTTAAATGTCAAGATAAAATCACTACTGATATAAATTGAGACATGAATTGCTGGATGCTTGATGAGATTACGGAATTACAGATATTCCTGTGGTAATAACATGGTTACATTTTCTAAAAATCCTTATCTTTTAGATACACTCTTAGAAGTATTCATAGAAGAAATGATACAATGTCTAAAATCTGCCTCAAAATAATCCATTATGGAGTGAAGGGAGAAAAGGGTTATACTTGAAATAAAACTGACTAAGAATGGTAATTATTGAAGACAAGTGATATTTACATTGTGGTTCATGATACTAGTCTCTCTACTTCATATATATTTTTTGTTTTCTATAGTAAATTTTAAAACCTATATGCATAATTGCATGAGTACAGACATTTAAAAGAATATAGTTCCAAAAATCATATTTAGATGATCAAACTGTATACAATAATTCTCCAAACTGATAATATATTTTTAAAAAATTGTACACATTTTTCTTGGTAACTTTTTTTTTTTTTTTTACTGAGGACTGAACCCAGGGGTGCTTAACCACTGAGCTACACCCCCAGCGCCCCCCCCCCCCCTTTTGAGACAGGGCCCTAGTAAGTTGCTTCGGACTTCACTAAACTGTGGAGGCTGGCCTTGAATTCACGATCTTCCTAACTCAGCCTCCTGAGCTGCTGGAATTATAGGCATGTGCCACCACGTTCATGGTAACTTTTTTTTTTATAAAAGTAACTTGAAAGACACTTCTACTATCAAAAATAACTTAATTTTGCATCAATTCCAACATAAACTTACAATCTATCTTCCACTAACTATCAATAAATTCATATGCTATAAAAATATACATTTATGACTTTATTTCAACAGTATAAGGTATCTAAATCTAGCTCTACTTTTAAACTCTAATATATATATATATTATATAGATTACATATTAGATATATTATTATACAAGTAATGTATAATATACATAATATGTAATATATAATATTATATAAGTAATATAAAACACACACACACACATATAGTGGGAGGAGGGTACCAGGTATTGGACTCGGGGGTACTCAACCACTGACCCACATCCCCAGACCTATTTTGTATTTTATTTAGAGAGAGGATCTCACTGAGTTGCCTAGCACCTCGATTTTTGCTGAGGCTGGCCTTTGAACTCACAATCCTCCTGCCTCAGCTTCATGAGCCATGGGGATTACAGGCATGCACCACCATACCCAGCTTCTAATATATATTTATTTATGCTAGGGATTGAACCCATGACCTTGAGCTTGCTATGCAAGTGTTCTACCACTTTAGCTAGTGGTTTTAGTTTACATTCTGTGAATGCCTTAAAAAAATACTGCTCTGTACCCAAAATCCACAGGTTTGAATGCCTACCTACCAGCTAGTACAATTCTTTTTTTCAGCCTCTCTTGGTACTGTTCACTATACATAACTCACCCATGTGCATGAAGATCACACACACCCCACATAGCATTAGATGGATCTCCCAATCCGGATGCAGAGATCCTTTGACATGTCATGTCTCACCACAAACCAGGTACAAGTCAGAGACTATTTTCGTTATCTGGGTGACTGCCTGCAAAATGTATATTTATAACCCAGTCACACCACATAATAAAAAAGACCAGGGCTGAAAGATATATAATTAACCACGGGTAAGGGCAACTGTTTCATCAAATAGGAACTCACAGATAGATAGTCAACAAAAAGGTTTTAAAGTAATCAAAATCCATTAGTCTCCAGTTTTTAATTCTACAAATATTTCAGTGAAATTAATACAGGTACATTAAAACAGGTTTTATTTTCAAAAGCTCTAATCATTTACCTATTACTTTTCTCAGAAAATAAAACAAAAACAGACCTCTCAAAACATATTACTTCAAACTTACCCTAAGTAGTATATTTGTTGCTCTATTTACATTTTAATAAGTGTTCTTTATCTGGGATATGGGACAAAATGGGTAAAAGGGATCTGAAACAGAAGTTACCATGTACTTAAAGTCAAGTAAATATGGTTACGTGATGCTTTGACCTGAAATGTACTTGTGCCATCTTGAAAAAGAGGCTATGAAGATGCACAGAATATCTACACCACATTTTGTCCTTTCATTCTGTCAACCTGTAAAATAGGCACTATAACCCTATTCTATACATGAGGAAATTGAAGTGTACTGTGGTTAAGTCAGTTGCCCAAGGTTACTCTACGGCTGGTTATAGGAGAGACCTTAGGAACCAGTTCTGACTCCAAAACACAAGATCTCTATACAATAACCATGGTGACCTACAAAAACAGGAAGCAAAACAGGTAACACAGACATGAGAGGTCCTCTAAGCCTGGCTCAGTGGGCCCCAAAGTCCCAGCACTACAGCTACCAACTCCAATGGGCCTAGATGGATACCTGATGCCTGTTCATCTGACAACAAAGACCTTGGCACCAGATCAATCTCCTGCTTTCAAGACGTTCAGGGAATATTCAGCAAGAGAAAGGAAGTCAGGAAAGGGGAGCAGGAATAAAAATCCCTGGGGTTCTAAAATTACCACTAAAATTAGTTTATACAATGTAAGGTTTTGTTACCATTTGGATCTGAAATGCCCCCCAAAAGGCCAGATACCAAAGGCTTGGTTGCCAGCCTGTGGCACTATTAATAGTTGGTGTAACCTTTAAGAGGTGGGGCTTTAGTTCAAGGAAGTAGGTCACTGAGGGAATGTCCTTGAAAGGTATATTTTGTCACCCACCACCACTTATTCTGTGTGCTTCCTAGCCTCCTTGAGCTGGGCAGCTTGGCTCTGCCACACACTCCCTGCCATGATGTGCTGTCTCACCACAGGCTTCAGGAGCAACCTAAAAGCAATTGCTCAAGCGACAATGGACTGAAAACTCTAGATACTATGAGCCCAAATAAATCTTTCTTCCTTTATGTTGATTTTCTTATGTATTTTGTCACAGTAACAGAAAGCTGACTAACACAATTTCCAAGTTGAGATGGCAGAATTATAGTGCAGGCAAGAACCTTGGTTCAGACTTCAATTTAGCAATAAGGAAGTGGGGGACCAGAGGTGGTAGGATTAGTTCTCCCTTATAAAATTAATCACCTTTACATCATGATCCTTCCTGCCTAAATGGTAAAGTCTGTAAAGAACTTATTTGGTACTGGGGACTGAACCTAAGGGCACTCTACCACTAGCTACTTTCCCAGCCTTCATTTTATTGAGACAAGATCTCACTAAGTGGCCAATACTGGCCTCAAACTTTCAATCCTCCTCCCTCAGACTCCTGAATATATGGGATTACAGATGAGTGCCATAGAACCTAGGAAAGAATGTATCATCTTTAGGCTACAAAGGTAACTTTCCTACATACACAAAAAAAAGACCTAGGGATCCATATTACTTATTTTACGGTTATTAAAAAAAAAAACTAAAAAACCTAACACTGTCAAGTACAATGGTGCAGCACACCAGTTATCTCAGCAGCTCAGGAGGCTGAGGCAGGTGGATCAAAAGTTTGAGGCCAGTATCAGCAATTTAGTGAGATACTGTCTTAAAATAAAAAATAAAAAGGGCTACGGATATAGCTCAGTGATAAAGCATCTCTGGGTTTAATCCCTGGAACAATCCCCACCCCCCAAACCCTAAAATAAAATCTAAATGATTACAAAGGAAGCATTACTATCTAGTTGTAACCAAAATCATTAGTCCACCCATCTCACAATTAAAAGAATTTTAAAATGATATCTAATCCTTGTAATAGTGTTTACCACATGCTTTTAAATACCCTACTGTGTAGGTAAAAACCATTATGCTCTGCATTTTAGAGATTGTGAATTAAAGAACATTATCACCCCTGTGCCTTTATTCCCTCCCACCAAAGAAATACAAATTAGCATTTCTTAATCGTCACATAGAGATTCAGGAAACCCTCCTGAGTGAATGTACATTAAATTATACACTCTGAACAACACCAATTACAGACTCTCTGTTAGAACCAGGCAGAGAAACAATAATACTGCCAGATTAGTACGCCAAGCATACTCCAAAGTTTTAAAAAAATCTTTCTTACTAGTTTTATATGCATGTGAAACTTTATCTTCAGTATCTCCTGTTAAATAGAGGCTAAATAGAAGAGCAATGAATGGCCCCATTCTTCATTTTGCTTACATGCTCTATACAAAATCCTGTGAATGACACATATTTCATTTATTCCCTTATTACTAATTCTCTTAAGAACCAAAAAGAAAAGTTGATAACCCCTGACATGTCATAGGAGTCAGAGTCCTGCATGTATCCCTTACTATGGATCAACGCTTCACTCACCATCTCGGTCCTCATCATGGACACTGAGGTAGAGATACTCTAGGCCTCTTCCTTTTTTGCCATGCTCTGCTCCTTGTAGTTTAGTCATAAGAGTTGTTTTACCAGAACCATCTTCACCTACAAATGATGTTTGCAAGAAAGACAAAAATGTACTGTTTATTTTGGACAAGGATGGCATGTTATATCAAAGTCATGACATTCACACAACAGGGAACAACTAAGAATGGCACCGACCACTGCTGAGGTCTCATTTGCTTTCATAAAGAAAGGAGATTTTGCTCTAAGAATGACTGGTGGTGGGGGCAGGTAAAAGCAGAAAATTCCAAGATCACATTGACATTCTACTGCAGTTTTCCTTACTTCACAAGGGAAGGCATAAGGCAAGTCCATCAGCCTTAGCTAGATTTTCTAAGACATGCATTTGGAGAAATTAAAGGAAAAGGTGGGACTAGTTTCTCACAAAATAAATTTCTACCACAAGAATGCAAGAAATCTTCAAAACACAACTAACCTCAAAGTCTAGGAACTCTGAATGTTTTTTTTTTTTTTTTTTTAGTCTGATCCTGCCTCACCATCATGAAGAATGGATGTTATTTTTCTCACTTGATTTTAGTACATATCCTTCAAAAGCATTCTGGAAGGCTGAGAAACTAAAGAAAATAATTACAGACCTAAGCAATGGGTACAGTCTGAGTAATTACCATTTTTTCATCTCCAACAATCTGATATCTCCTCCCCACACCAAAAAGAAAAAGATAAAGAAAAAACAAAATAAAACAAAACAAAAAAACAACCACCTCTCTAAACAGCAGGTAGAACCACTAGCAATAATCATCACTAGGCATTCCTGGGACTTAATAATATAGAATTATAGAGGGAGCGAAAGGCATTCCACAGATGAGACTCCCTGTCCATCCACAATGCTATTATTACCTTTTTGTCCTCCACATCCCAGCTGGACGATTGTAAAAGTTAGTCAGCCTAACTTCAGTACCCGCTCATCCTTAGTTACTTTCCACTCTACAGCCAAAGTTCTCTTTCTAAAACACAGATCTAGTGCTCTTAACCCTTGGTTTTTGAAAATCTCTAAGAGTCTGCTAACCTACCACAATGAACATCATCTGAAACCCATTTAGTCCCCTCAGAAACTATGGGGAAACCATGAAGAAAATGATGCCCAAAAGTATAGATGGAAGTAAGATAAAAGGGTTATAAAAATCAGAAGCCTTCAAGAAGCATTAACTCTTCCAGCTTTTCACAATCTGCCCCCAACTTCCTGTAGTGGCATTTACCACAAGAAATTTTAAACAGTTTCCAAACCCCAAACCCTTCTGTCATTTTTGTGTCCTGCATACTGACACTTATCCTTCAGAACAGGCCCAAATTTCTTTCAACAGCACAAGCAGCCTGATGCTCCCACAAGAATCTGCCCATGATAGGCATGGTGTAGTGCAATCACCAACATATCTGTTTCTGATAGACTGAGGTTCTTGTGTGGAGCATCAGAGTTGTCTGTGCTGTCCCAGCCCGCAGGTCCCACTACACAAATGTGTGTGTTGTGCGAAGGACCCCAATCACCTTTACTTGTATGCGGAAACTGAGTTCACATAAGTTAAGGGGCCTAACTCAAGTAACCCAGCATTGAGGGCAGGACTAATGGCTGGAAAGCCCAGGGTACTGACTGCAAAGCCTGCTGTCCTTGCAGACTCCCTAAATCATCAGACTGTGCACTGCTCATAATAACCGAGGAAGGCTCCTGCGGCAGCTCGGAGCCCAGGTCATCTCGTTCTCCCGCCTACTCCATCTAGTCTTCTCAACTACTCTCTCCCTTCTCTCCACCCTCAACTTGAACAGAGAAGACTAGGGGCGCAGGAAGTCAAGTCGACTTAGCAGCCAAGTGACTAAAGGAAATGTGCGGACCACCCCACACAGCCCCTCTGGACTCCCAAAGGGCCAGCATCCCACCGTCAGGCGTGGTGGGCTTGGCGATTCTCCAGCTGCCATGCCAGCGCCTAGAGAGCCCTCCCGGGCGGCAGACAGGCAGCAGGGAAGGAGGGGAACGCTGGGACCTGTGGGAGAGGCGCCGCCTCGCCCACCCGGGCGGCCGCGGGCAGCGCCCCGCCGCTCACCGAAAACCAGGATGTTCTTGCCGGACGGTAGCTTGGACCTGGCGCGGGTGGACACTTCACTCAGGATCGAAGACCTGCAGCGACAAGGGGAAGAGCGGTCAGCTCCGGGGCCGCCCAAGACCGGCCGTCTGTGTCTGCCCAGGGTCCGGCCGGCAACCTCTCCATCCTGCCGCGCCCTCCCCGACCCAGCCTGCTGCCTCACCACAGGCTCTGGCCCTCCTCCTCCTCACTAGTGAGGTCGCCGGCAGCAGCCACCGCGGGCCCGTTGGGGCCCAGCAGCAGCTTTTTCTCCACCCCCACCGGCGCCATCTTGCCAACTGCAGCCACAAAGAGGGCCCTCCCCCGGGGCCCGCCGAGGACCCTCAAGGACCCGTGAGGACCCTGGCGGGGCCGCCTGTCGTCCCCGCGCCGCGCCTCCCACCACCGGGGCCGTTCAGCTCAACGCGCCCCGCCGGGCAGGCGATGTCTGCGGGCTCCTACGGGTCGCGCGGCCGCTGCGGTAGCGGTAGTCAGGCAAGTGCTAGGGCAGCCTTGCAGGAGGAGGTAGGAGGGAGGCGGGCGCCGCCCGGACTCAGAATGCGGTGGCGCCCTCTGCTGGCTGAGGGGCGCGGCGCAGCGCCCTCCCCAGGACCCAGCCCGGCTCGCAGTTACCTGGGTCTGTCTAGTGCTAGGGAGCCCCGTGGACTGACGCGGCAACCCACTCTTTGGAGTAAGACTGATGCTCGACAGCACCACGTAGCTAGCCCTCACAGTGTGCCAGGGCCACACACTATCCCAATCTTACTACAGGCACGGCGGCCCACCCCTGTAGTCCTCGGGACTCGGGGGTCTGAGGCAGGATTGCAAATTTCAGGCCCCAAAGACAGCGAGAACCGGTCTCAAAAAATAAAAGAGGCTGGGGATTTTGCTCAGCGGCAAAGCACTCTCTGGATTCAGTCCTCACTAACTACCCGCGCAAAAAAAAAAAAAAAAAAAAAACCCAAAACAAAAACTTACCTTTGACCGATGAGGAACCTGAAGTTCAGAATTTGGATGCTAGAAGGTGGCGTCTTGGTACTTATTGTACTCACTAATCTGAAACTGCTATATCGTGAATTTAACCTAATCTTCATCAATCCCTGCAGTGAAAGATCGGCCTTAAACAAGATTCTCAAATCCTCATAAGTATCCTGCTTTTCACCTCCACCTTCGTAAATCTTATTAAGACTGTTCACCCCAGTGAACCATATGTTTGGGTTTGTTTTACTAAGAGTTAAAAAAATATATTTTCAGCGGGCTGGACATGGGCTCAGTATTAGAGCGCTTGGTACTTGGCTAACATGCCTGAGGTCTTCCTGGGTTCAGTCATCAGCACCTGAGGGGAAAAAAATTTTTTTTCAGGCATCCAGCCTTTGACACCAAAATTAAACTTTCATTTCCTTTGGGGGGGGGGCATAAGAAAAGGGGTAGGGGATGTGAAAGAGGAAGGTGCAGGGAGAAGGAAGAGGAGGAAAGAAAACTGCACAAGGGTAAAGTTAGGTGTGGCCTGAGTGTTCTCAATGTTTTGATGGAAGCAGACTACCGTTTACAAGGCACTGCTAAATATCACAAGTGAATGGGATGACAGAAGAGCAACCACTTAAGTGGGTTTCACATGATAGTGATCCTGGCTCTGCCAAAAAACTGGGCATAGTAAATTATAGCATCCAACAAATGAGCATATCATCTGCAAACCTGGATATATTTTAAGCAAAAGATCAGGAATAAAAAAACATTAAATATATTACATCCCTGGAAGCCTGGGAAGATCAAGCAAAGTGTTAGAAATTATAGAAGGGTAAGCAGTGTCTGTATTTTCACAGGCAGAGGATGGGAGTTGAAAACTGTTAAGCCAGTGAGCTTAAACAGCACTAGGTGATACTCTAATATGAGTAGTTGGAAAACAGCATTAAATTTACACAATATCTTTTCTTTTCTTGGAGGAATACCACCAGGTAGGAGGATTCTACAAACATAACAAATGCAGATTTCAAAGGAGCATTTGACCATTCTCAACATAAACAAAGTAGATGATATCATTAAGGACTGTCAAAGAACAGGCCAGAAAGGACTGATGATGAAGCCTGCCCCAGCCAATTCATGGTGCTATCATCACTATAAGCTTATGCCTTAGCAAATAAAGATAATCATTATTTGAAAATAAAATTATAATATTAAGAATTGAAACTGCATTAACTATAATCTGAGTTGATCATGTGGAATGCCAAGAAGTGTCCAGTTCATAAACCTCACAGGGTCATTAGTCAAGCCACATTTCTTAGGGTTACACTTCTCTTTGGACACATTTTACAAACAGATGGCCTATGGTCAGTAACTAAGGTACATAGCACTGCTATGCTGCAGCATGTTATCCCATTAGCACAAAGCCTAAAAGATGTATAGGGACAGAAGGGGAAAGTAATAGATACGTTTAAAAAGCTAAAGCAAAAATACATACACCAAAAGTAAATCCAACTACTCAAAGCAATATATCATTAGTTTTTAGAAGAAACATTTTGGCTACTTGCATGCCTATAATCCCCTCCTGAGGCAGGAGGATTGAAAGTTCAAGGCCTGCTTTGGCAACTTAACAAAGCCCTGTCTCAAAAAAATAAAAAGGGCTAGGGATATGGTTCAGTGATAGAAACCCCTGGGTTCAATCCCTAGTGTCCCCCCTCCCAATTTTTTTAATTAACAAAATGTAAAACATTGATTTAGTGGGTGGGAACCTCAGTTGAACAGCTTGAGAAAACATTCTGAGTTCTAGGGAGGGACTTTGGCACTGAGCAAAAATACTAAAATCCGTATGTCCACATAATGTTCATTGCAGTATAATGTGAAATAATGTTTAAAAGCCAATAACTTCTTTCCTCTGAGCCACGTTCTCTGAGCTTAAGAATTAAGTCATATTCCTAAACATATGTTTGACCTTATGGAAGAATTTTATATGACTATGCACAGTGAAAATGTATTTGCTTTAGAAATTATTGTAATAATTTGAAGAGTTCCAGCATCACAAAAACTGTTTAATTAAACTTATACTTGTTTCTACATTCCCTGCCTCATGGGGATTTAGAATAATATTTAACATTTTATCTTTCAAGGCACCATACCTATAGTCTAAACTAAAAATTGACAAAGTCTCTTCCAATCAAGGAGTTGTACACATGGGGCGTTTGATCAGGTTGTGGTATTTTTGAGCAAGGTCTACAGCTGTCCGTCCTTGCTGAAAGGGGAAAGACCACAAAATTGAATTCCAATGATTTCCCATTTTCTTAACTCCACAGAAAAGGTAATTTACTTCTTCTTTAGTAAAGTTTTTACGAATTCTTCTTTTTTCTGTAATTAATGAGAATTGTAGAACATATTAGTACTTGGTGAAAAAAAGGAGTCTTCTCGAAACCCAAATGAATGTGTAATTTACTTATGGATATAAACTAGAGTGAGAGTATTTCATGCCTGGGATATTCATCATATGAAAATCCACTTCAATTTTTAAAAATCTGAGGGCCTACTATTTTAAGTGCTATTATTGGTACTTCTTCAATTACTATAACAATTTTTTATAATGATACATGTAACATCTTTCCATCAAGAAACAAAAGGTTATAAAACATTTGGTTAATTCAACATTCCTGTAAGGATAGTTAACAGTTTACCTATCTTAGATACAGTTTTCCCAAAGGACTCCATAAGTTTATAGAATAGAAAACAATATCAATACTTGTTAAATACTAGGTTTGATTGATATTTTTTGAAGAAAAAAATTAAATCCGTTTATTCACAGATGACTTGATTTTTTATAAAATTTATTTCTTTGTTCTAATCAGTTATACACGACAGCAGAACACTCTTCAATTCATTATATACAAATGGAGCAAAATTTTTTGACTTCTCTGGTTGTACCCAAAGTAGGATCACACCATTCGTGCAATCATACATGTACCTAGGGTAATGATGTCCGTCTCATTCCACCATCTTTCCTACTATCTCCATGACCCCTCCTCGCCTCCCCTTTGCCCCATTCAAAATTCCTCCACTCATCCCATGCCCTCCTATTATGGATTAGCATCCACTTATCAGAGGTTTGATTAACATTTTTAAGAATAAGGGTCTTCTGAAATTTATTTTACAAAACATGTTCACTACCAATATGGGTGCTCAGCTTGATCAAAACTCAAAAAGATAGAAACTTCCTTCACCATTATGTGGCCTGACTATCTGGATTAGGGATACTTTCTAAAACAAAGAATCCATAGTTGGTAAACAAATATCTTCTGGTGATGATTACTAGGAAGCAGTATTCTTCAAACCTAATTCATTAGTAACTCATATAATCATAAGTCATGTAATTATTGTAGGTAGATGCTGGAAAGTAGTTTTTTGTTTTGTTTTGCAGTACTGGGGATCAAATCCATAGCCGTGCACAAGCTAGGCAATGCTCTATTACTGAGCTACACCCCCAATCCAAGGAGGAGGTTTTGTATTTCACCTTGAGGCTGCTATCTAGGAGGCACTGGTATCAAAGTGTTGGGTCATCCTTAGAAATTCTTACCCTTGCAGGACAAGACTGTTGGCCATCTATCCACCTTTCTAAGAGCCACAGTTTATACTTTTTAAGACAGAAAAGAACTGGGTGTGGTGGCACATGCCTGTAATCCCAGCTACTCAGGAAACAGGTAGGATATCACAAGTTCAAGGCCCATCTGGACAATTTAGTGAGACCCTTCTTAAAATAAAAATGGCTAGAGAGGGCTTGGGTTGTAGCTCAGTGGTACAGCACTTGTCTAGCATGTGTGAGGCACTGGATTTAATCCTCAGCACCACATAAAAATAAATAAATAAAAT